AATAAGCAAGGGTTATACTATTTTACACCAATTTCAAAAATAAAAGACAATGTAATCAATTTACAGTCATCGCATGATATTGTTTCTAAAACATCATGTTGTATCCCTAATGCCCCTTCTAGTTTGTAAAATAATAAAGATTGTGTTTCTTTATCTTCCTCTCTATCTTCTTTGAATGTTGATTCAAAAACTTGGCATCATAGATTAGGGCATACTCCATATCATGTTTTAAAGTCAGTGCATCTTGATTTACTTTCTTCACATACATCGCATTGCACTATATGTCCACTTGCAAAGCAGACCCGAATTCCTTCTCATTAAGCCAATCAACCACAACTAATATTTTTGACTTGTTGCACATGAATGTATGGGGTCCATACAAGATCCCTACCCATGGGAATGCTAGGTACTTCTTAACTATAGTAGATGATCACTCTAGGATTACTTGGGTTTTCCTCATGCAATTTAAGTCTGATGTCTTTCAAATTTTCAAACAATTTTTATCAATGGTCCAAAATCAATTCACCAAAACTCCAAAATGCATCAAGACTGATAATAGGTTAGAATTTTTTAATAAAAATTGTTTTTGAACTACTACAGGCCAAAGGCATAGAACATCAAATTACTTGTGCATATTCTCCACAACAAAATGGTATTGTAGAGAGAAAGCACAAGCATATTTTAGAAGTAGCTAGGGCATTGAAATTTCAATCACATGTGCCACATGATTTTTGGGGATATTGCATTATAACAGCAATTTATATCATTAATAGATTACCTCCTAGGGTTCTTCATGGACAATCCCCATATGAAAAGTTCTATAATAAGAAACCTAATCTTGGAAATTTGAAAGTGTTTGGTTCTTGGCTTTTGTAACAACCTTATCTCCTAAAGACAAGTTTTCTCCAAGGTCTACACTGTGTGTTTTTCTAGGTTACTGGCTTACACAAAAAGGCTATTTCTTGTATGACTTACAAACACATTATATTCAAGTTAGTCGAGATCTGATTTTTTATGAAAAAAATTTCCCTTTGCTTGGTCCAAATCAACAAAGCCTCTGTTTTTAACAGATTCATTCATAGATTTAGATACTACTTCTTCTACTTTACCTATTCAAGATCATATTGTATTATCTAGAGATGTCTCTTCCATTCAGATACAAGAACTAGTTATTGAACCTATCGTCATGCTTCTTTACCAACTTCATCACATTCAAATCCACCTACCTTTACACAAGGTATTCCTGTCACAAATCAAACACATCTAGCCTCTACAATTAGAAAGTTCACTAGGGTGTCTAAACCTCCTCTTTGGACAACTGATTTTGTTTGTCCAATACTATCTAAACTTGACACAGTAGCTACTACCCAATATCCTATACATTCCTCTTTATCTTATTTACACTTACCATCCAATTATCAAGCATACTTATCAGAATTTTCCAATCTCACTGAACCTTCTACTTTTGCCCAAGCCTCCAAAGACCCCAATTGGATAGCTGCTATGCAAAAGGAGATTCAAGCTTTAGAGCATAATGTCAGTTGGTCATTAGTTCCTTTGCCCCCAAGTAAAACTTCCATAGGATGCAAATGGGTGTATAAGTTGAAATAATCTGATGGTACATTGGAGAGGTATAAGGCTAGGTTCATGGCTAAGGAATATACTCAACAAGCAAGGGTAAATTATGATGAGACTTTTTCTCCAGTAGTTAAGATGGTTACTGTTCGGTTAATACTAGCTTTAGCACCCATGTATAATTGGCCTTTGTTTCAAATGGAAGTGGATAATGCTTTCTTACAAGGAAACTTACAGGAGGAGATTTATATGATAGTGCCACAAGGTTTTACCCAACCACGTAAGCACAATTTGGTTTGTAGGCTTCACAAGTCACTTTATGGTTTAAAGCAAGCCTCTAGGGCTTGGAATCATAAGCTTACATCTGCCTTAGTTACTGGTGGGTTTATTCAATCCCAATCTGGTCATTCTTTATTCATTAAGAAGGACAAATGCAAGATTGTTATTTTGCTTGTGTATGTGGATGATATTGTCATAACATGCAATGATCATTCCCTCATTGCTGCTACAAAATCCCTTCTGCATACTCATTTTAAGATCAGAGATCTAAAGACTTTAAGGTACTTCTTAGGTCTTGAAGTGGCCAAGTCAAACAAAGGTATCACTTTCTATCAACGGAAGTATGCATTTGAGTTGATTGCTTCTTTAGGATTGTCTAGATCCATGCCTGCTATTGTACCTTTAGATCAGAATGTGAAGTTCACTTCCATGCAATATGACAAGCTCTTTAACATCACTAATGATTCTCTATTGCCTGATCCTCATCCTTATCAAAGATTGGTGGGCCAGCTTCTATATTTATGTCAAACCAGGCCAGATATTAGCTATTCAGTTAATTTGCTTAGCCAATTCATGCACTCCCCTAAAGATTCTTAAACAAGCTCCTGGTCTTGGTTTGTACTTTCCATCTCAGAATTCTTTGAATTTGGTGGCCTATAGTGATTCTGATTGGGTTTCCTGTCTTATGACCAGGAAGTCCATCATTGGGTATTGTGTTATGCTTGGTAATTCTTTATTATCCTGGAAATCTAAAAGGCAAGCAACATTGTTTAAATCTTCTTCTGAGTATACTCAATGGCATCCACTGTTTGTGAAGTAACTTGGATAGTGCAACTTCTCTTTGAACTTGATTTTTGTAATTTGGCTCCAGTCACTTTATTTTGTGACAATAAATCAGCTCTTCATATTGCTTCTAACCCCATGTTCCATGAGAGGAAAAAAATTGATATTGATTACCATATTGTTCACAACAGTGTTAAGAGTGGACTAATCACTACAGGTCATGTTTCTACTCAAGAACAGCCTGTTGACATTTTTTACTAAAGCGCTCAGTAGTTGAGTTCATTCTTATCTTCTTCACAAGTTGGGGGTGTTAGACATCTTTCACCCTCCAACTTGAGGGGGGGTATTGGTTGTAGTATTGTCAGTTAAGTCTTGTATTAGTTACATTGTTTGTATTAGTTGATGCCAGCTGTATAACTATGGTTAGGTTAGTTGGTAATTGTGATTAGTAGAAGATTGATTAACATCTTGTTATATGGGTTGTAATAGCGCGAAATATTCAGTAATGAAAAAGGCAGAATACATTCCAAGAATCCTCTGTTCTTCATTTTATTTCAGCCTGTAAGGCGTACAAAGATGGAGTAACACTTTGTTTACAGAGAAAAAAAATAATGGTTGAAGCTCAAATGTATGCCCAACTCACATGTATCCAACCTCCCTTTTTCATGAAGAGAGGTGCCCATTTATAATTTTGAGGTCAATGTAATGAGTGTTTTTGCAAGTTGTCTTGACATATAGAGACCACTCTTTAATCCTTATCTTAAAATGCGATAGGATTGATATAAATGTTCTTAAGTTGATCTGGTCTTTGACAGCTAAGATTATTTTTTTTTTAGCACTTCCTAAACTTTGATTGATGGGACTGACAGTTTATTATGATTAGTGGTGATGATGTCAGTGTAATTTTGCCCATAACAAAAACAATTAGAATTATATACTTAGCCATAAATGATATATATATTCAAAACTAATTCAAATACATGAATAGAAATCAAATGTATAAGAGTTGGAATAAAAATTATATAAATAAAAAAAATTAACATTGTATTGTGCATGATTAATGAATTATGAACGAATTATCATATTTTTTTCCCTAAAATATAGAGAAATTAATGAAAAAGTTACTAACTAATATTTAATTATATATATAATTAAAAAAAATTAAATCTAAAAATCAAATTTTTTTTTTTTTTCTTTTTTCCAAGAGGGCTACCTAGGCTGGACGCTGCAGCCCGGCAGGCCCTCTCAACCCTTCGCCCCTGTTTATTGTTTTTTTTTTTCTCTGAGTAGTATTACGCATCAGAATAATTATAGTTTCAAATTGATGTATCGTTTTACATTTTTATTTTCTTGCATTATCTCACACTTTCTGCTTGAATGTTCTTCACAATTAATCACCCAATGAGTTGTCACTTCAAAAGCAAAAATAAAATAAAATAAAATAAAAATAAAAATCAATAAAGATCATCTTAGATATCCAATTATTTATATTTTATCATCATTTATTGAGTTGATTTTTTTTCATTATTTTAAATTATTTATTCATTTTGTATCAAATTATTTAATATATAAAAGTTTTATACAAAATTTTTCTGTTTAACATCATTCTTAATTTCTTTCTGTTATAACTTAATATTCAACTATTTTTCTGATTTTCCAATTCCAATGGAACTATGTTCTAAAATTAACCTCATAAATACACAAATTGTAAGTTGTCAGGACATCCTGATTACCAAAAAAAAAACAACAGCCATCCATTTCTGATGTAACGTAGCAATGGAATCTTCAGCGCAATGTGACTTGACGTGTACTCCAAGTCAGGAAAGTACTCAGCATGAAAATGACAAAAGTTTTCTGAAATGATAAAACCATTGTTTACGAGTTGAAGATGATTGTTGGTAACTGATAAAATATGAAGAAATGAAGCACACAACATGGATATATATATATATATATTTGTTCTATCAACCATCGTCCTTATGGTGACGTATAATTTAATTTGCAGTGAAGAGGGAGCAGATAATTCTTTACAGAATCTTCAAGGATTTATCTTCTGCAACCATTACCGTGATCGTAGGAGATGACTTTTAGTTGAAGTTCTTCTTCGATATTGGAAGAACTCCAACTTGTTTCAGTTAAAGTGGAAATGAGCTAAGTCAACGGAGGATTAATAATTTTCAGATATTCCTAATCTATTATATTATATATGACTGCGGCCGGCAGTCTGGAATGGTGATGTCCTAATAGATTTTCTATAAAATGTGGTAATCTCTTATTTTAAGTTATTAACGACATTACCATTTTTTATTTTAAACTCATTTTAATTATTGAATGCAATTCTGAACTTCAAATTAAAACAATACTTGCAATGAAAAAAAGGACTTATAATAGAAAGATATATAGAGAATACAATGCAGTTTAATTACTGATTTCAGGGTTTAATGTACAATACAGACTGCATTACAAGCATTTACACAATCAAGAACACAGAAAGCACACGTTACATAGTACAAACGACACATAATTTAATTAGGATGGATAATGGTGAAGGATTACACCAGGATAAGGATGATATATATTTCTCCAAATGCTTTTATTCAACTAAGCAGTTGGGTAAGATGCTTCCATGGCAATGCCGCATAGACCTTCCTCAGCATCCACATCTCTTTTCATCCTTATATATCCATTCTCTCCCCAGCTGGTGCCCCATGAATTCTTCACAAGCCAATATTTGGTACCGTCATCAGCTGTTCCGTACCCAACTGCGGTAACACCATGGTCAAGTTCAGTTCCGCACTGTCCTGTGAAGACCCCACTTGAGTAGAGTTGGAAGTCTGATCCACCTGCATCAATCGCAACAGATACTGGCTGCTTCGCCACCGCCTTCAGGAGAGATGCCTCACTGTTGGCAGGTACGTCTTCATAACCAGTGATCTTTGCTGCAGGAGAACCTGCTTTGCTTTTGCTGCAAGTTCCATCAACTCCCTGGTAGGGGTACTTAGTTTCAGTTGTGAGACCTTTGTTTTTCATGATGAATTCGAAGGCATCATCCATGAGACCACCCTCACATCCTGCATCCTCACCTTTTACGTCACAGTCAACCAATTCTTGCTCTGATAGAGAGATCAACTTTCCTGTTGTGAGCTGGTTAATTCCTTCCATAGCTGCCACTGCGGAAAACGCCCAGCAGCATCCTGTGTTTTTAATGTAATAACACAATATTAAGTCAGAGATTGGTAGCCACAAGTTTATTAGTCAATAATGAGGTAGTAATATAAATCTGAATGATGTGACAATATAAATTAAAAAACTGATTAAGTTAGTAGAATCGAGGAATCAAACTATGTTTTAATCTTTACCACATTGGCCTTGGTCCTTGACTGGTGTAACAGCTCCTTTCTTTCTCCAATCCATGGTGGGTGGGACAGCAATCACATTTTCATAACTAAATGAAATTGTCCCAGAAGAGATAGAGCCTCTTTTGTATCCATTGCGAGAGGCCCGAAATTCCTCATTGGTAAGGTCTGCAAATTCATTGAGGCCTAACTTGTAAGGTCGCCCTTCCCTGTTTACAGATTCAACATATTCCAGATTATCCAGGAATATCTTAAAACGCATTTCCTTCTCTGCATTGTCTTTGTATACACGCCCATACTGAGCCATCCAAATTTCATGTCTTTCATTCAAGGTGGCTTCATGTAGTGAGCGTGACCAAGATTGGGAGACCCATACCCCCAAAACTAACACAACAGCAAGGAGTAGTTTCTTCTCAGTAAGTACCGAAACCATTCTAGCTACTAGCTAAAATTTTATATGCAAGATTATTATTGTAAATGTGTAAGATTAGGCACACTTCAGTCCTCAGATGATTATAGGTATTTATAGATAAATGAAATTGGGTTCCTGAAGAATGTCTCCGAAATTGGATTCCACAAATCAACATGTAAAATTCATGGTGATGAACCAGATTGCCTGGTGAATCCGGCAAGTTATGTATGATAAAGACAACAAAAGTTTAGTTCCGTGGACGCTGCTTCATTTGAGAAAGAAGTCATGGTACTTATTGGTATCTTGCATTTGCAATCTTGTAAGAATGTTTACTATAATCTTGGAATCTATTAATTTAACCAATTGTTATAATGCTAATTTGGGCGTATAAGATTAAGGCATAAACTAAGAAGGCTATTTGGTGCCTTGGATTTAATTTTTGTCTTTAAGTGCCATTCCCCTGCTACCTTGAGTTATTGTTAAGCTAGAGGCAATGATAGGTGCAAAATTGCAGATGTGATTTGAAACTCAATCATATTATATCAGAAGTCACATATGACATGATTTTTCTTTTGCATTTACTTAAATTATCTTAAACAGTATCTCTGCACTCCACTTCAAATTTCTAGATTTTACGAAACTAGTGCATGTCTTTTGTTTGATTTTATTATCATCTTTAACTTTAACCAGTTGGAACCTGGAACAATAACTTGAAATTATATGTGCTATATTGTCAAGCAGGGGTGTGATTGATTCTAGTTACTTTGCATTTTTTTTAAGGAATCGAAATCAGTCAGTTCCTAAGATTTGGAATCAAAACCGAAACCTAAAGCATAGGCTCTGATTCCAGTTCCAAGTACCTAGGTTGACTTCAATTACCCCAACTTTTTTAAAATTGAAAAATACACCCCTAAAAAATTACAGATACACTCACTCTCAATAGTTTACAAAAATTATAATTCAGTCTCGATTCCTACCCAAACCTTGGTTCCAATTTTGGTTCTTAGTTCCAACACTACAAGAACCAAAACCAGACTTTGGAATTCCTGGTTCCAATTTTTCAAAACCGAAATCAGACCCTAATGGGGTCGGTTCCTACCCTTTACCCATGCTAACCCCTATTGTCGAGGACCTAGATAGGTCCTTATAAATGAATCCTATATTTTCAAATGAAGAATAAAAGGCTTATTATCTTTTACATTTCTTAAGGTTTGCGTTTTTCCTAGTGTCACCTCACAATTTTAAAATAGTTAACTCCCCTTAGATTTCAAAATTTCTCTCAAAACCTCCCCTTTTCACCATTTTTGTTAATATAATCGGTTAGGTAGCTTACTATATTTTCCTTAAGTAAAAAGTACTTTGAACCTCCCTAAGTATATACATATCTTAAAAACCCCGCTCAAATATATAGGGTCAGTGTATTTTTTGTATAAAAATTAAAAAGAATTTGTATTTATTTTTTTTTTTTAATGTTAGTGGAATTAAGGGTAAATAAATTATTTAATTAGTTTTGGAGTTGAGAGCAAACCTGGGATGTCGCTATGAAAAACGCAAACCTCGGAGGAGGTAAGGGATAATAACCAAAAATAAAATGAAAACTCATTAATCTTCAACCTCAGAGATACGTGTGAAGCTGATATAACATTGACCATTATCACCAAACTCGAAATCACCGGTGCTTCATTTCAGGCAGTTCTATATCTAAAGAATACACTAGCAAACACCTTGTTATATGGCCGAAGAGCTTGAATTGAATGGCCATTTATCTCTGGAAACATTGGAACGACCAGGATTGGTCTAACACGCCAATATCTACATTCCAAGTAATGAACAAAGAAAAATTTCTACAAAAAAAATCAGGCTCATACATACAGTTAACCATGCCACATTTGGCATATTATCTTTCTGTTTTAAACACAAGTACAATTACAATAAAGGCTTAGTCTCCAAATTTCAGACATCTATGCCAAATTTAGCAAAGCTATCTTTTCTATGTGATCGAAAAATACCTTACGGTTTTAACACAGCAAATGAGAGCCACTGCAGATCTCCAGTACATCCAGCATTTTGATGAGTAATCTGAGTTTTTGTAATGTTAGTTGTGCTCAGCAAAGAATATTCCACATCTCCTTAAATTAAAGGTACTTACCAGACAACAGAAAAAGTGGGAAAAGTCACCTGTGATAACAGAATAATGTTGAATTTTAATCACTAGGAAAAGAAATTTCAGACATTCAAATAATATAAACTAGCACAACAGATAAAGATTACCCCTGAGGATTAATTTGCTACAATTTGTACCTCGGAGGAATGGAGCCAACAGACTGATGAATCTGATGGTCATGTGAAAATTAATAATGGTTCCTCCAGAATTTCAGTGCACCATCAGTTTGATTGAGCCCTTCTTGCGTTTGTATTCATGCACTTATTTACCAAGTCAGCAATAGCTTGTATTAATGACTTAGGGTCAAATATTACACCAACTTTTGGATCGCGTACGGAATCAACAACGATCTGCAAAAGCATGTTAATATCCAAGTAAAACTGTTGTAATCAAGCAAAGTGAACAATGTATTCTAAGTGTTGGATGCCAATCAGAATGATTACAATAAGAATAAATACCACATCAAAGATTCCTTGGGAAGCCAAATTTTGAATGTCCAAGGGAATCTCGCCATCTTTAGGCACCAAAAGGGTGTTGATATACTGACTTGGCTGCACAGAATACTAACACAATAAGAGGCATAGTTCTCTGTTTAGGATAATTTACTTTCTATTCAGGTGATAAATCGGCTCAAAGATGAATTCCTAAAGATAAAATACATACAAATAACTCAACACTTTACTATGGGACTTTGTCCTTGATTTTCACATGATACTTCACGTTTTCTTCCAGAAATTGTACTGTGCATCCTTCATGAAAACATCATAATTTTTTAATTTATGAAGAGTCTCAGGAACCACCTAACAAGTATGCTGTCTTCAGTTTATCTTTAAAAGAAATAAAGATTACAAATCCTACACGATTAAGTTCCCAAAAGTTGAAAGATCACTCCGTACTGCCTTAAGAGGAGTAACAAGAAGCGCAAATGTAAATCAGTCACAATGACTATAATACAACTCCAGTGAATGTTTTTTAACCTTAAAAATCAATGCAACATTTCAACCACCATAAGGTTACATGGATTATATATCAATATTTATGCATTTCATTACCTACCAACAATCTTGTTTAAACACCTAAATCCAGCATTTTCCCATTGATAATCATGTATTAACCTTTATATACTATTTTGATAAATTATGTGAAATGTATTAATTCTGAGATAGGTTTGGTTTTAAAATCCCAAATTCATGAAATTCACCTCTAATCTTTGGATTCAACCAAATCCCTGTATCATCAAAACCAATTCACGAACCAAATTATTGTCTATAACAGCAGCTGCATCTCTATACTTACAGAGTTTTTAAGAGAATTATGAGGATCTCCATATGTTCGATTTAGAGCATCTGTAATGGCAGTTACAAAGCAAGAAGCAGAGAAGCCACTTGTTTCTCGATCTTGTGAACCATTCAACAGAAGTACCTGATAAAGAAAGGGTTCAATCAACAAAACACTGCGATGTTAAAGCATACAACTCATAACATAGGTGTTTAGTGTCTAGATTTTTAATAGGAGTATCCAAAAATGAAAGCCTAACCAAAAGATCCTAAATCCAATATCTAACATGGTCTGGAAGAAATTAATAGATTTCAGTCAGAAGCATGCAAGCAACTATATACTTCTTTAACACTATATATTTTCTTATACTGCATCATAGGTGTAACATATCCAGGGGTATAAAAGAGTACCTTAGGACAGGACCTGGAAGAAATTATCTCCCCGATGCCTAGTAATACCTGGTAACGAAGTGTTACAGCAAAATAATTAGGCATGTCGTGTTTTAATTGAAAAAAATAAAAATAATATTTTTTAACTGAATGCTGTTAACAAATAAAATCTAGTTAATTGCACTAAAGAAAGATCAAAGAATCAAATGAAATCCCAGTCATGAAATTTTATAGGTTTTAAGGTACTATCCTATTAGATCCTAGATCCATAAAGTCTGTCAAGTTAATATATAGGACGAACAAGAGCACCTAAATTGCAAAACAGAATTTCATGCAATAAGATGGAAAGAAGATGCAATTGAAAGAAAATAAAGAGAACCGAAAGAGGAGAGAACATGGAGGTAGAGCACTCTTTAGTGCTTGGCGTAAAGAGCACAGTAAACTGGCCCACTACGTTCCTATTATAATGTAGATATTAAAGAATAGCTCCCTTCTGCTGTCCAGCCAAACTTTATCGTGCACCTACATGCTAAAGATCATAACTCTCATTAGAAATAAAAACTGTGATCCAGCGGAGAGGGTGCATTGAAATCATATTATATTTTTTTAATTATTAGAAATCCAAAGCAATCACCCCAAAAGTCTTATTCCAATTGCATATTGGGATGTGTGCTTGCCAAAAACTAATGTGGTTTGATTTAACTTTCGTCTTTCTAAATCAAGGAAACCATAACTTCTCAAAGTTGATTGGTTCAGCATGTTATCAGTTAAACTCACGAAAATTATATTCATTAACATCCTTGCAAAGATGTTTACCGTGCACATTTCAGATTTCTCTTAAGTCATATTCACCAGGATAAATTATTCTTCCAAACAAACATAAATACATACACATCCTAGAAAGAATACACGTGGTGATTTCAGCCAAGCATGGGACTCATTATATGTATAATAAAGTGATGCCAAATGACATGAAAAACCATTAAGATAGGCTACTGCTACCAAGACCAAAAAAAGAAAAAGAGAGAGACAAGGTACTAATTAATATAACAAGATTACTAATTAATTGGATTGGCAAACACCAATTTAAATGTTATGTTCAAGCTAACTACAAAAGCAAAGTTGCACAAAGGTCCACGTGCAACAATACACATTACTACAGCATGAAACAATAAAATAATTAACCAAATGTCAACAGAATCATCAATATCTCAAGAAAACTAGATATTGTGTTACCATATCACAAAAACCTAATTGCAAACATTCATGAACTGCTGAAAACTTACCAACGATGGGCATAAGGAAGTAAAGAGAGATCCCATAGCATAAACAATACAGTCCACACTATTCAACTGATCCAGGACAATCGGGTTGGCTGTAGGGAAGACCTGATCAGTCAGAACCCTAAACTTATCATAAGTTCCAGCTATCACGATAATGCAAGTGAGGGATAACATATATATCCTTGAGCAATTATTGACCATATAGAGCTTAATGCAAAACCATTGCCCAAAACAACTTTCATTTTCTCACCTTCCTTTCGCAATAAAAGTTTTCACATTATATACAGAGCAGTGACAGAGAATAAGGCCACAAGTACATTCAACATTATAAAAATGTATAACAAAGAAATATAAAACAAAAAATTGCCACTACATTATTGTCTCTTGTGCTACATCTGAGAACCAAGAAAAACAAAAGAAAAATCACCTCATGTAACAGATTTCTGCCCTCACTAGACATGTAGAACACCCGCTTTATTCTTGAAGGAAGTTCAGGAACTGCAGACCTTTCCTAATCATCAGAAATCAGCATCCAAATGAATAAAAAATATCTCTTACAATCACTGTGCCAGGAAAAGATATCAGTGAAAAGAGAAAAACACCAAAATCTCATTTTTTAAATAAATTAAAGTACAATTCATTGTAATTGAGTTAAAAGACCAAATAGAAGGTTTTATTAATTTTATTCCTAGTTTCTGAAATCAAAAATTGACAAGAATTCTTCTTCCCTTCATAATTACCACCAATATAATGCAACATAATGAAAGCCAACATTAATGTCGCAACACCATCACAGGGATAAATTATACTTTATCTTTATATGTAAATGTTCTTACTTTATTACTAATACAAGGATAAGAATTTTGGCAAAAAATAATGAGCAATCTAGCTTCCAATATGATATGATCGCAGACCTTTTTTACAGGCCCCATGGATCCATTGGTTGGGTGAGAAATTTCATTCTGGCCCCTTATTACAGTCCCATCCTAAAAGGGAATTGAACAAACAAAATTAGAAAAGAAAAAGTAAACAAAACAATAAAAAAATTCCCATTCTAACATTTAAAATTATCTTTACTATAGAAACTGCAAATGTAGATTTACCATCAAAAATGCTTGTGAACTGTACGTGATGGTAAGTATGAGCCATGAGACAAAATATAAATGTCAAAATATTAACTGATAATCATACCCAGAGTTCACACCCTAATGTGAGTCTGTCATTGGTGGAGATGACTGGGAGGACCTGACTTTCTGAGGGAATATCTGAAACTCGTGAAAACAAAAATATTGCAGCATCTAAAGACTGAAAGAATATGCGTGCTCCTGCAAAGAAAAAATTTCCAATGCTGCAAAAATGACAGGTGTCAGACAAGTCAGGATAATTTCAGAAAATATACTGATCATTTTGTAAAATGAACAATGGTGATGATAACTTTATATCAGTATAATCCTTTAGTGACATTTGCCCTGTTGAGTCTCCCCACATGACATGCTAGATCTACATCATTAGTTGTCCCCAGATCCATTATCTAGAAGTGTATCCATGGCTTCCATTACCAATTTCTCTTGACACATAACTAATTCCCCCACCGTTCCTCAACTAACCCACTATGGGCAAGAATTTTGATGCCCCAAAATGTGTATACTAATGTGACCACAATGAATGAGTGATAGGAAGCCGCCATTAAATTTAAGAACAGAGCAACAAGAATTCCAAAAGTAAAGCATGCTCCCATACAACCACAAAACATAAACAATACCATGATATGACAGACAGTAGAACAAACTACCTGCCATTGCTGAAACAAAATGATTCACTAGGCCGCCGGAGGATCTGTATCAAAAAAATACGTTGACCATCAAACTGAGCACTCCAAAAATTCCATAAAGCATTTAATAATTCATGAGTGTAGAGATGAAGGAGAAAACGAAATAACTTCCAGAAACAATTTCCTCAAAGAAAAACAAAATGTGCTTCCCTACAAAGTGTAAGTATCATGCGTATGCCACAATTGACAAAGATAACACTTCATTATTACCACAATTGATTGCCTTTTTGCTAATAACTATTACTATACTATCTGATCAAGCTACAAACCTACATACCTCATTCTGAAAATAAGCAAGAAAAGCTCGAATGGTTTCCCTATAAGGTCTTGACACTCCATTCCATAGGGAATGTTCTCCTTCCACAATATCATACCTGCCAAATTCTTAATTCATTGTAAACTCAACACGCCCATGATTCATAGTACCACCTACCAAGTGAATTACGCAATTAATATCGCAAAAAATACACCATTCTAAGATAACTATAATAGTTTTAGCATATGATAACTCAAATATAAAAAAAGGTTTAATAGCTTACCATTCTGATTTGGCTTGTTGCGAATCAAGTGGCAAACGATGACCAAGCAACCTACGAACTGCAAGTGCCTCTGAACTACTCTCGTCCGACAACCTCAAACACCTCGACCGTATATCTCCGACAGCCGGACCACCTATAAATAGACCAGCATTGAAATAATTAAATTCAATAACTTTTTTTAATTTTATTAACTTTTATATATTTAATTTACCGAGAACGCGAACAATTTCGGCAGTGCTTCCACCGTCGTCAGAAACGGGAAGAACGTGAGCAACACGTGTGGTAAACTTCTTAAGCTCTTCTACGACGCCGTTAAAGGCGGTACCGCCGGAGAAGACGAGGAGAGAAGGTTGGACAGGGTTTGGATTTGAATTAGAAATAGAAATAGAATTAGAGAGGCAAAGGCGATGAAAAGCAGACATTGAGAGAGATTTTCTAGAAGGAAAATGGAAATGAAAATTTTGAAGAAGAAGAAGAGGTGGTGGAGTAATGATACTAGTATTGCAACAAAATGAGGGACCCAATGAACTGTCCGCCATTACAGCGTATCCGATGCTCGCTCTTTCTTTTCTACTCTTAGTTTGGCTTTCACTTACTGAAACCGAAATCTCCGGCTATTGGTTGGAGTATCCACCTCAGCTTGGGCCCTTTTTTATACGCTCGTGGCTATCATTCTAGAGAGTTTTTACTTATTTTTGTTTTAATTGTAGCCCACTTGTTTTGTTTTAAATTCTAATATTTGTACAACACAAATGTAATACCACTCTTTAGTGCTTGGCGTAAAGAGCACAGTAAACTGGCCCACTACGTTCCTATTATAATGTAGATATTAAAGAATAGCTCCCTTCTGCTGTCCAGCCAAACTTTATCGTGCACCTACATGCTAAAGATCATAACTCTCATTAGAAATAAAAACTGTGATCCAGCGGAGAGGGTGCATTGAAATCATATTATATTTTTTTAATTATTAGAAATCCAAAGCAATCACCCCAAAAGTCTTATTCCAATTGCATATTTGGATGTGTGCTTGCCAAAAACTAATGTGGTTTGATTTAACTTTCGTCTTTCTAAATCAAGGAAACCATAACTTCTCAAAGTTGATTGGTTCAGCATGTTATCAGTTAAACTCACGAAAATTATATTCATTAACATCCTTGCAAAGATGTGTACCGTGAACATTTCAGATTTCTCTTAAGTCATATTCACCAGGATAAATTATTCTTCCAAACAAACGTAAATACATACACATCCTAGAAAGAATACACGTGGTGATTTCAGCCAAGCATGGGACTCATTATATGTATAATAAAGTGATGCCAAATGACATGAAAAACCATTAAGATAGGCTACTGCTACCAAGACCAAAAAAAGAAAAAGAGAGAGACAAGGTACTAATTAATATAACAAGATTACTAATTAATTGGATTGGCAAACACCAATTTAAATGTTATGTTCAAGCTAACTACAAAAGCAAAGTTGCACAAAGGTCCACGTGCAACAATACACATTACTACAGCATGAAACAATAAAATAATTAACCAAATGTCAACAGAATCATCAATATCTCAAGAAAACTAGATATTGTGTTACCATATCACAAAAACCTAATTGCAAACATTCATGAACTGCTGAAAACTTACCAACGATGGGCATAAGGAAGTAAAGAGAGATCCCATAGCATAAACAATACAGTCCACACTATTCAACTGATCCAGGACAATCGGGTTGGCTGTAGGGAAGACCTGATCAGTCAGAACCCTAAACTTATCATAAGTTCCAGCTATCACGATAATGCAAGTGAGGGATAACATATATATCCTTGAGCAATTATTGACCATATAGAGCTTAATGCAAAACCATTGCCCAAAACAACTTTCATTTTCTCACCTTCCTTTCGCAATAAAAGTTTTCACATTATATACAGAGCAGTGACAGAGAATAAGGCCACAAGTACATTCAACATTATAAAAATGTATAACAAAGAAATATAAAACAAAAAATTGCCACTACATTATTGTCTCTTGTGCTACATCTGAGAACCAAGAAAAACAAAAGAAAAATCACCTCATGTAACAGATTTCTGCCCTCACTAGACATGTAGAACACCCGCTTTATTCTTGAAGGAAGTTCAGGAACTGCAGACCTTTCCTAATCATCAGAAATCAGCATCCAAATGAATAAAAAATATCTCTTACAATCACTGTGCCAGGAAAAGATATCAGTGAAAAGAGAAAAACACCAAAATCTCATTTTTTAAATAAATTAAAGTACAATTCATTGTAATTGAGTTAAAAGACCAAATAGAAGGTTTTATTAATTTTATTCCTAGTTTCTGAAATCAAAAATTGACAAGAATTCTTCTTCCCTTCATAATTACCACCAATATAATGCAACATAATGAAAGCCAACATTAATGTCGCAACACCATCACAGGGATAAATTATACTTTATCTTTATATGTAAATGTTCTTACTTTATTACTAATACAAGGATAAGAATTTTGGCAAAAAATAATGAGCAATCTAGCTTCCAATATGATATGATCGCAGACCTTTTTTACAGGCCCCATGGATCCATTGGTTGGGTGAGAAATTTCATTCTGGCCCCTTATTACAGTCCCATCCTAAAAGGGAATTGAACAAACAAAATTAGAAAAGAAAAAGTAAACAAAACAATAAAAAAATTCCCATTCTAACATTTAAAATTATCTTTACTATAGAAACTGCAAATGTAGATTTACCATCAAAAATGCTTGTGAACTGTACGTGATGGTAAGTATGAGCCATGAGACAAAATATAAATGTCAAAACATTAACTGATAATCATACCCAGAGTTCACACCCTAATGTGAGTCTGTCATTGGTGGAGATGACTGGGAGGACCTGACTTTCTGAGGGAATATCTGAAACACGTGAAAACAAAAATATTGCAGCATCTAAAGACTGAAAGAATATGCGTGCTCCTGCAAAGAAAAAATTTCCAATGCTGCAAAAATGACAGGTGTCAGACAAGTCGGGATAATTTCAGAAAATATACTGATCATTTTGTAAAATGAACAATGGTGATGATAACTTTATATCAGTATAATCCTTTAGTGACATTTGCCCTGTTGAGTCTCCCCACATGACATGCTAGATCTACATCATTAGTTGTCCCCAGATCCATTATCTAGAAGTGTATCCATGGCTTCCATTACCAATTTCTCTTGACACATAACTAATTCCCCTAGCGTTCCTCAACTAACCCACTATGGGCAAGAATTTTGATGCCCCAAAATGTGTATACTAATGTGACCACGATGAATGAGTGATAGGAAGCCGCCATTAAATTTAAGAACAGAGCAACAAGAATTCCAAAAGTAAAGCATGCTCCCATACAACCACAAAACATAAACAATACCATGATATGACAGACAGTAGAACAAACTACCTGCCATTGCTGAAACAAAATGATTCACTAGGCCGCCGGAGGATCTGTATCAAAAAAATAAATTGACCATCAAACTGAGCACTCCAAAAATTCCATAAAGCATTTAATAATTCATGAGTGTAGAGATGAAGGAGAAAACGAAATAACTTCCAGAAACAATTTCCTCAAAGAAAAACAAAATGTGCTTCCCTACAAAGTGTAAGTATCATGCGTATGCCACAATTGACAAAGGTAACACTTCATTATTACCACAATTGATTGCCTTTTTGCTAATAACTATTACTATACTATCTGATCAAGCTACAAACCTACATACCTCATTCTGAAAATAAGCAAGAAAAGCTCGAATGGTTTCCCTATAAGGTCTTGACACTCCATTCCATAGGGAATGTTCTCCTTCCACAATATCATACCTGCCAAATTCTTAATTCATTGTAAACTCAACACGCCCATGATTCATAGTACCACCTACCAAGTGAATTACGCAATTAATATCGCAAAAAATACACCATTCTAAGATAACTATAATAGTTTTAGCATATGATAACTCAAATATAAAAAAAGGTTTAATAGCTTACCATTCTGATTTGGCTTGTTGCGAATCAAGTGGCAAACGATGACCAAGCAACCTACGAACTGCAAGTGCCTCTGAACTACTCTCGTCCGACAACCTCAAACACCTCGACCGTATATCTCCGACAGCCGGACCACCTATAAATAGACCAGCATTGAAATAATTAAATTCAATAACTTTTTTTAATTTTATTAACTTTTATATATTTAATTTACCGAGAACGCGAACAATTTCAGCAGTGCTTCCACCGTCATCAGAAACAGGAAGAACGTGAGCAACACGTGTGGTAAACTTCTTAAGCTCTTCTACGACGCCGTTAAAGGCGGTACCGCCAGAGAAGACCAGAAGAGAAGGTTGGACAGGGTTTGGATTTGAATTAGAAATAGAATTAGAATTCGAGAGGCAAAGGCGATGAAAAGCAGACATTGAGAGAGATTTTCTAGAATGAAACTGAAAATTTTGAAGAAGAAGAAGAGGTGGTGGAGTAATTATACTAGTATTGCAACAAATTGAGGGACCCAATGAACTGTCCGCCATTACAGCGTATCCGATGCTCGCTCTTTATTTTCTTCTCTTAGTTCGGCTTTCACTTACTGAAACTTAAATCTCCGGCTATTGGTTGGAGTGTCCACCTCAGCTTGGGCCCTTTTTATACACTCGTGGCAATCATTCTAGAGAGTTTTTATTTATTTTTGTTTCAATTGTAGCCCACTTGTTTTGTTTTAAATTCTAATATTTGTACAACACAAATGTTAACAACTATAAAATAAATGGACTAAAGAATACAGCAAAAACAAAAGGGTTAGAATGTCATTTTCTTTATTATTGTCATTACGTGTATTCCAGTTTTGATGAGAGTTTTTATCCGGGGTGTTCAAAAAAAAAAAAAAACTGAATTGAAAAACTAATTAACCAAAAAACTGGTTCGATTACGGTTCAAAAAATTCAAAAAACCAGATTTTAGGTTCGTTTTTTGGTTGAGGTAAAAATGCAAACCGATTAACCGAAACCGGTTTTACTAACCAAATTACTAAAATATATATATATTAAATTAAATTAAAATAAAAAAATAATCTTAATGGATATTATATATTAAAATAAAATAAAAATTAAATTTATTTGTATCAATTTTTAATGTATTGTTTGTTGTAGTTAATGGATATATATGAATGTTTAATTTTTATTTGGATATGTATTGTTGATGTTTATAATTTAATTCGGGAAAAATTAAAAAAAAAATTAATCCAATTTAAGGGGAAAACCGGTTCAAAACCTGTTAACCGGTTTTTTCAAAGCGGTTAACTGGTTTTTCGGTTAATCGAAAAACTGGTTTTCTCCTAACTCGATTCGGTTTCAATTCAAGAATTTTCCTGAACCAAAAAACCAATTGGGTTCAAGAAAGAGATTAATCGGTTTGTTTAAACGCTTTTGAGCACCCTTAGTTTTATCATCTATTCGCTTGAAATGTAACCACTTCATACATGATTTTCACATGCTTTTTCACATCCACTTATAATGTTAGACATCTTCAGTCTTTTAGATAATATTTTTATACAACAATACATAATAATATTGTTAACCTTATTTTTTTATGTAAAAGAATCAATTTTATTGATGAACAGAGCATACTTATAAGGGTAATTATATAAAATAATTTATAATAAAAGATTGAGTTAGAGTACTTACAGAATTCTCACTGTTAATAATGTCTGTACTATAAGTGTAAACAATATAAAGAAAATGGATTGAAAGAGACTCGAGCAAGAACAAAGGGGCTAGATGATTTTTCTTCGCATTCAATTATCTCTCAAATCATTTCCCAATATTATGAATTAGGGAGGTTAATATATAAAGGCCCACCCGCCTTTAGGATTTAGCGATAATATATTATGACACATGTCACAAGGTGGTGGCATATATATAAGACGGATCAACATCTTCCCACCCAAGGTTCGCCGAAACAGGATTGTCCCACCAAGGTTTGGCGAAATGACACTTTCCCACTGTTCAAGTTTCAAAAAACAGGCTCCGTTTGGTTCACAATTTTGTGTTTTAGAAAAGTTTGAAAAAAGTTAAAAAAAAGTTGAATTGGGCGGGTATTACGATGTAGGATTTACAAATATAAAATACCCCTATGTTTGTATTTTTTACAAAACACCCCTGATAATAAAAATTAAAAGTTAACAAAAACACCCCAATTACCTCAAATAGGACACGGCCAACACCGCCGGAGGGTGGCCGGAGTCGCCGTAACAAAAACATTAAAATATTTAGGGGTATTTAATTGAATTAACAAATTTAGGGGGTTTAAAAAATGTTGAATAAAGTTGAATATATTGTGAGTTTTTTGGTTTTACTGTTAACTTTTTGGGAATAATAAAAGTAGTATTCCCAAAATCCAACCAAACAAAGCCACACTTTCTCACATTTGTTAGATTAATACGTTTTTTTGTCAATATTTACTAAAAAACGAAAAATACCCTTAAATATTTAACTTTAAATTTTTTATTATTTTTTAATTAACCAAAATTAAATATTAAAAAGAAAAAAAAAATAGTTATCCCACCTAAAAAGTTAGGAGTATGTTATGGAATTATTTAAAATTAAATACCTTGTATTTATTATTTATAATTATCAATCCATCACTATTATCATTAATCTATTAAATTATAAATTTTTTATTTTACTAATTAAATAGAAAATCAATATTCTAATTAATAAATAAACAAAAAAAAAAAAATATTATACTTAAACTAAAAATGATCGAGTAAAAAACTTTGATAACAATACCACAGACACCAAAAAAGTTACACTGAATTTTTGTACCGGCCTACGTATAACAGCGTCTCAATTTTTTGTAATTTGTTTATAGTAACGGCCGTCCATTGGACGATTGTTCACTCACATGGACGCCCGTCCATATTATATGGACAGGCGTCCATGTAAAAGGGACGGGCGTCCCCATTTAAAGGACGCCGTCCCTGATTAAAATACAATTAAAAATTTGTAAAACCTTAGGGCGGCCGTCCATCCATTAGGATGACCGTCCATTAATTTTGGACGGGCGTCCACAAATAAACGGACGCCCGTCCTTCACCCAAATATGGAAAAAAAAAAATTCTTTGGGGACGGCCGTCCATAAATTTTGGGTGGTCGTCCCTACGTTTGACGGGCGCCATTAAGAATGGACGGCCATCCATTACGTTTAGATGGGCGTCCATTCTAATAGACACCGTCCATACTTTAAAAAAAAAAAAATTCTAAACAGAAATAGTCTTCCTTTACTCTTCTTCTTCTCGTCATTCCCCCTCTCCTCTCTTTTCTTGTCTTCATCCCCATCCCTCTTTCTCTTCATCTTTGTTTTATAAGATATGCGTACGTTTATAAGCTTTCAATGGCATGGTCTGTTTAAGAAACTATTGCTGAAGAATTTGTATCAGGGGTGAAACTTGTAGGTATTTGCTGCAGAGATGCTGGGGACTTGGTGAGAATGCTACAGCATATGTGAGCTTGGAACCGTGTAATCACTATGGAAGAACTCCACCATGTACTGAAACTATGATTAAAGCTAAAGTGAAAAAGAGTGGGTGGTGGAATGGTGGATCCAAACCCAGTTTGTAGATCAAAAGGGTTAGATAGGGAGAGAAGCTGGAATTGACGTGACTGGGGCTTAGAAGAAGAATCATGCAAGCAGCTTAATGAATAAACGCCTATTAACATTGATGAATAAACGCTATTAAGTATCAGTAAAAGGAGGGGCGAATAAATATTTAGCTGTTATCAATTACGGTTTGGTGGCTTGCCCCAATGTTTTTAAGTAATTAACAATGGCGCTGTAACACATCTTTAAGACTATTCTTCTATCATTTCATTTTTTTTGGGTTTAGGAGATTTCACCCAACCAGGCCAACATTAGTTGCATCTTCTATTGACTTTAATATATCTTTATACAAATTACTCAGCAGCAGCCATGCAAATTTCTTCGTTCTTTTCACTTATATATTCCCAGTCCCACCTATCTCTACCACTCTCTTGTATCAATATTCAAAACTTAAAAAAAAAAAAAAAAAGCAAAGTGCGTGCAGCAATAATGGCACCTTTTGTTCATCGTCCAAACCTCTCGATTTTGCATTGTTGATCTTAGTTAGCGTTTTGATGTAATGGTAAAGGGATGCGATGGGTCAGTTTTGCTTGACGACACAATCGACCTGCAAGGAGAGAAAACAGCTTCTGGCAATAAAAATGCCCTTAAAGGTTTTATACTGTGATAGGATCAAGAACAAGCTTGAATCTGATACCCTGGAATTGTGTCGTGTGCAGATATTCTCAGCCAAGTCCCCAGCATCTCCAAAGCAAATACCTGCAAGTTTCACCTCCTGATTCAAATTCAGCAACAGTTTCTTAAAGACCATGAAGATTGAAAGCTTATAAAAGCACGCCTATCTTATAAAACAAAGACGAAGAGAAGCGAGTAGATGGGCGAATGAAGACGCAAGCAGGAAAAGAGAGGAGATGGGGAATGAAGAGAAGAAGAAGAGCGAAGAGAAGACTATTTCTGTCTAGAATATTTTTTTTTTTTTAAAGTATGGACGGGCGTAATGGACGCCCGTCCAAACATAATGGACGGCCGTCCATTCTTAATGGACGCCCATCCAAACTTAAGGGACGGCCGTCCCCAAAGAAATTTTTTTTTCATATTTGGGTGAACGACGGGCGTACATTATTTGTGGACGTCCGTCCAAAATTAATGGACGGTCGTCCATAATGGATGGACAGCCGTCCCTAAGGTTTTACAAATTTTTTAATTATATTTTTATCAGGGACGGGTGTCCTTTAAATGGGGACGCCCATCCTTTTTACATGGACCTCAGTCCATATAATATGGACGAGCGTCCATGTGAGTGAACGGTCATCCAAATATGATGAATGACTGTTCACTAGAAAAATATTGTAAAAAAATTAAGATGCGCGTTGCACGTAGGTCGATGCAGAAATTTGGTATAACTTTTTCGATATCCGTAATGTTATTATTGATTTAATTAAATATTAATTTATAATAAACTAATTAAAAAATAAACTATTTAAACGTATTTTGTCATTCTAATCAAATATTAATAAAAAAATTATTAACAGAATCTGACTAATAGTGAAAAAGTGTCATTTTGAAGCTCGACGGAAATCTTGGGTAGAAAAATTGTCGTTCTGCCTGTATATAATACACATGGCAAGGTGGTGGAGGCCCACCCGTCCACAAGAATGTGAAAATTCACCTTCATGCGGATATCACATGGACTTTAATAAAATTATTTTGCTATAATAAATGTTTTTATGAACTTTTCACTTAAAAAAACTTTAAAATAATGTACCATACCATCTGTATCACAATATAATAAAGTCAATACTCATACCATCTATGATTTTTTTTTGCGTATCAACGATCTTTAATTAAACACAATCCAAATCACTTCATCATTCATGAAATTAAAACATAAAAAAATTCAGTATTTAGTAGCGAAAATGGCATTTGAATCATCCTACAATTTATTTCATAGACTCAATAATTAATCTAAACAATCACCCATTCAGAATCACAAAATTCATCATCTGGGATTTCAACCGTAACTCCGAACAACTTCATTAGCTTCTTTCGACTCAGTCTCAACATCCCCTTTTCCTCAATCTTCCCAGTTATCTGTCAAGGCGTTAATGCATTACAATCACTTTTAATGTAAAACCAAACGAAACAATACTAATGATGATGATCGAAACAGAGATTTTACCTCAAACTCAGTTCTGTCTGTCATGTCCTTATTTTCATCAATTTTCATGGATTCAAAAGAATCCTTTTTCTCGGCAAGATTCTCCTCCGCATAAACCCCACAATCAACTTTCCGCTGTAAAGATGAATCGTACTGAGCTTGATCAGTAGGTTCTACTGAGGCTGAGCTGATCAGTTTATGGAATTCAAGCAATACCTTCCCACGGCCTTCATTAAAAACTGTCTTTAAGGCACCAGGGCCCAGAACATCATTGTCATAGAGTGCCTCTTCTTCTGTATCCTCCTCAGAGTTATATTTATAGGTCTCTATATCTGAAACATCTGTATCCTCCTCATCGGTAAGTATCTCTGAAGCATCATCTGCCTCTTCCTCAGTATCCTCCTCACAGTAATCTTCATCATTATCTTCCCCAGAAGCATCATCTTCCTCCTCTGCATCCTCCTCATAGTGGTCTTCATCAGTACCCATCTCCGAAGTATAAGAGACCAAACAGCCAATGTCATGAGCTACCTCTTTCTTTGTCTCCTCCTCATGGTGGACTTCATCATTACGGAGATTTGAAGCATCAGAGATTAGAATATCAATACTGTCATCAGCTGCCTCTTCCACTACTACATCTTCTGATGACTGAAGAGGTTTATCAAGCACCATATCCCTATAAAAGTTCACAACATTGGCACCAATTGTCTGCAAATTGTTTTCAACATTTCTTACCTCCTGTCAAGAATGCAATCAATGTCGTAAGAGATAATTATGACATGAAATGTAGCTAATCGAGCGATGAAGTGATAACTCAAATACAAGGGTTGGGGCAAGCAAAAGGATATCAGACATGTCTATATTATCACATCATTTTGACAAATTGACAGAAGATTGGGGAGAAAGTTTGTACATTCTTTTTCATATGGCGAACAAAATCGTTGAAAGAACTAGGAGAAATAAACTTTCAAACTATTGCATAAATTCAAATTTGATCAGAAAACATCAAGCAAACCTCCATGCTTAAAATATTGATATGATCAACATACCATACCACTTCAAAAAAAGAGAGAGGGTTGCAAATAATAAATTAGTCTCTTCAAAAGAGATAAAACCAATACCTCCCGCACAGCCACATCAACTTCTAAGTACAAATCTTCTAACTTCTGGAACAAGTTCCCAACCCATGATATATTTTCACCTCCGTCATCCATAATGAACAAAATCAACTAGACACTGCCTGCCAGAGATGCAAAAGAATCTTGTTAGTGCTTTCCCTAATTTTCAATAGGTATGAACAGCTATAGTGATGCAGCGGAACGCTTGGCTAGATGTCGTTCTAACCTTGACTCGAGTGACTGATGTTGAGAATATAAGAGAGAAATTCCCAAAGGAAGTAATAAGAGATTTTATTAAAAACTTGAATAAATAACTTAAAACATACCAACGTCATAATTCTACTAGGAAAAGTAAATAAGAAATCCTAATACTACTAAAACATTAATAAAAATCCTAATACTACTAAAACAATGAATTATAAAATAAGAAATCAAGTAATATTCCTACATCATATAGTGATTCGGGCTTGTTCAAATGGTTGAAACTGCTGCATATTACACTTAACAGACGCATAATAACTCAGTAATTGAATTTTAAGATGCATTATGACCAAAATTGCTCTTGTATTGACTCCATAACCACTACAACTAAGTACAACTTTTTATCCTACAAACTTCACAACCACAATCAAAAGCACCAACCGAACAATTCTCTCGGATGGAATTTCAGAGCATTTGGAAATTTTAATAAAGAAATTCAGCAATTGAGAGAAAAGACTCATAGATCAAAGGAGCATGGATCAAAGTTTCTGAATCTCTATGTAAATTAATGAAAAGACTAATAGAAACAAAACTATATCATAAAAAACAAACCCAAGAATTTGAACGTGCTCAAATTTGAAGTCCTGGCAACTTAACAGTTTGGAAAACTAAGACCAGAAGTTAAAACCTTTAAAAAAAAAAAAAAATTTCCCCAAATTTTAATCTTTCTACCGATACACGAAAGAATTTGAGGACGATTTTAACCAAAGAAGGAAAAGAAAAACTCATACCACACTCCATATGGGTCATTGTAAAGCAGCATTGATCAAAGTTTACCATAACAAAGTCCAAAATTTTCATAAGATCAATTAACCTTCATGCTTACTAACAATGTATCAAAAACAAAAACAGAAACAAGCCAAAATTTGATCAAACAAATAAATTGAAAAACGACAAAGTTTTAATGTGATCAAACATCATTCAGTATCATCACTGTAAACTAGCAAAACAAAACCAAATTATGAACCAGCAATAACCCAAAAAAAAAAACAACTTTCAAGCTGAATTTAGCCGGAAGCCAATACCTTGAAAATTCGGAAAGTTTGAAGTATTTATTGTTGTAAGGAGAGAAGTTAAGTGAGGAGGTGAAAGACAGAAGTCCCCGTCCAGCAGTTAGAAAAAAAAAAAAAGTAAAAAACAACCTTGTAGAGTTAAAAGCGAGATGGAATTCTATTTGATATATGTTTTGTTTGTGATGTTTTTATTATCATGGACTCCCGTTTCAATGATTATGATGGCAGCTTTTTGTTTGGTCAGTATATTTGGTTTGACTGTTTTGGTAGTTTCTTAAGATACTTTTCAATCCATGTGAACCGAAAATGCAACGGTCGGTTTCTTTCCCTTTTCTTCTCGTTATTTGTTTTGTCCAGTGATTGAATTTTACTATATTATACGTTGAATATTAAGCACCAGGCGATTTGAAGTTTGAATAGAGATTTTCTTTTCTATAAATGATAAGGTTTCAATACTGTGTTTGTTACATGATAATACCATTTCAACTAAGTCTAACTAAAGATTCTTAAACATATATATATAGAATTAAAGAAATATCGAAGGAATTTTTCTCTATTGAAATACTTTCAAAGCCCTTTAAAGGAGTTATGTATGTTTTAGAAGTTTAAGAATTTGAATATAATTTAAATGCAATGTAAAAAATAGAACTGGTGTGTGTGTGTATATATGTTGTTCGGTGTTTTTATGTATTTTTATTTGTTTGTTTAATTTTTTTATAAATTTTTTGTAAAGTTACTTTTTACTTTACAAATTACAATAAGGCAACTCTCTGGGTGGTGAGTAATGATAGAGATGTTGGGTTACTCAAGAAGTTCTGAGTTTGAGTCTCTCTAATACTAATAGGGGTGGTCACTGAAATTTATCGATTGATAGTTCAAGGCGGAGATAGTTGGGATAGCGTAATTGCTGAAACCCCCAGTCATAAAAAAAAAAAAATTACAAAAGGAAACATTGTCACAAATTTTTCGCGCCATCCTCAATCTTTTCAATTTAATAGATGGACAAGTTGAAGTTTTATTTTATTTTTTGACAAAAATAATTTATGTTTTCTTATATATACTGATAATAATATAAAACCATTTACAGAATTCATAATGTGTTTTTTATTTTTGTTTTAGGTAGAAGCCAATAGCACAGTTGTTATATGCTTGATTAATATGTAAATGAGATAAAAAAAAAAAAGTATATAAAAAAAATAAGGATTGAGAAAGTATAACATGAATAAGAAAAATATAAATTTAAGGGTTATTTTCTAAATGGATGGGGTTTATTTAGACATCTAGATATGTTTAAAAAATTTTAAGGGTTTATTTACCCCACCGGTAGTTAAGATCTATAGCATCACTCTTTTCAAAAAAATAAAAATTTCGGCTTCGTTTGGTTCAAGATTGGGAATACTACTCTTAGTATTCCCAAAAAAGTTAAACAGTAAAATACCCAAAAACTTTCGGCTTCGTTTGGTTCAAGATTGGGAATACTACTCTTAGTATTCCCAAAAAAGTTAAACAGTAAAATACCCAAAAACTCTCGGCTCTGTTTGGTTGCCAATTGAGAATACTACTTTTAGTATTCCCAAAAAAGTTAAACAGTAAAATACCCAAAAACTTTGATTTTTGGGAATATTACTCCCAATATTATTCAACTTTTTTTAAACCCCTTAAATTTGATAATTTAATTAAATACCCTAAATATTTTTTTAAAAATTACAAAAACACCCCAGTAATTCATATTTACCAGATTCTGGCCACCACTGCCGGAAAATGGCAGGAATCTGTTAGGATGGCACACTACCGGCTGAATCTGGCAGGTAGTGCGCCGATCTAGCATTTTCCGGTCAGATCCACGGTGGATCTGGCCGGAAAAGGCCAGATCTAAGGCCAAAGATCTGGCCGTTAACGGCCAGATCTTTGGCCGTAACGGTTTATAACGACGGCCAACAAATGGTCATCGTTGACCATCAATGACGACCGTTTGTTGGTCGTCGTTGACGAGAAAATACGGCTAGATCTGGCCGTTGACGGCCAGATCTGGCCGTAGATCTAGCCTTTGTCGGCCAGATCCACCGTGGATCTGGCCGACAAAGGCCATATCAGTGCACGACCGGCAAGATCCAGCAGGTCATGCGCCAATACGGTGAACCCGGCCACCCTCCGGCGGTGGTGGCCGGCTGTCCGTATTTGACATTGGGTTGGGGGTGTTTTTGTTAACTTTTAAGATTATATAATAGGGGGTGTTTTGTAAATAAACAAATATAGGAGGTATTTTATTAATTTATAAATCCTACATCGTAATACCTGCCCAATTCAACTTTTTTCAGAAAACTTTTCCCAAAAACACCCAATTGTGAACCAAACGAAGCCCTCATTTTTGGAAATACTATTTTCAATATTATTCAATTTTTTTAAACCCTCTAAATTTGTAAATACCCCCAAATTTTTTTTAAAATTACAAAAACACCCCAACAATCCACATTTACCAGATTCCAGCCACCACCGCCGGAAAATGGCCGGAATCTGGTAGGATGGCGCACTACCGGCTGAATCTGGCCAGTAGTGCGTCGATCTAGCCTTTTTCGGCCAGATCCACCGTGGATCTAGCCGAAAAAGGCCAGATCTAAGGCCAAAGGTCTGGCCGTTGACGGCCAGATCTTTGGCCGTAACACTTGGTCACGACGGCCAACAAACGGTCGTCGTTGACCATCAACGATGACCATTTGTTGGCCGTCGTTGAGAGCAAATACGGCCAGATTTGGCCGTTGACGGCCAGATCTGACCATAGATCTGGCCTTTTCCGGCCAGATTCACCGTGGATCTGGCCGGAAAAGGTTATATCGGCGCATGACCGGCAAGATCCAACCGGTCATGCGCCCATAAGGCGACTCCGGCCACTACCCTCAAACACCCCCAACTAGCCACCTCCAGTGGTGGTGGCTAGCTGGGGGTGTTTGAGAGTAGGTTAGGGGTGTTTTTGTTAACTTTTAATGTTTTATTATAGGGGGTATTTTGTAAAAAAATAAACATAAGGGACATTTTACTAATTTATAAATACTACATCGTAATACCCGCCCAATTCAACTTTTTTTTAACTTTTTTTAAAAAACTTTTCCCAAAACCCCCAAATTTTGAACCAAACGAAGCCTTCAAGTTTACAATTTACCCTTCAAATAATTTGAAACTATAGGTCCAATTTGTTCAATAAAGAGAGTGAGAACAAATCGGGTTAGCTCATCTTAGGTCCAATGTAATCTTGGGCTTACAATTACAAACACCAAATTTTAGGACTAGGTCCAATTAGAAAAGAGGTGTGTTTAAATAGCAGACTTAAGGCTGAGAAATTTGAGGCTGTTAAATGATCTTAACGTGATCAAAATTTGGTATGAATATCTTAAAAAACGATGATTCATTTTCCCAATACCGGAAATGAAAAGATTTAATTTCGAAGAAGAGAGAAATTGAATAAATGAAGCTATTTCATTTTCATTACCCAAAGAGGAAGCTTCCCCGTCTCTAAAACTTTTGGTGTTTATTGTTTCGTGATATACAATTGCCATTTCATCAGCTTCTTCTGCACGAGAAAATGCATTCTCAAATTGATGAAATGTTTTACTTTCAGTAAGGCAAGCTCTTTGAACTTGTGCTTATAACCAGGGACTTGAGTTTGGAAGAATCATCAGCAGCATTGGCTCTTCTGGTTATCATTTCCATATTCTTATGAAGACTTTGTTTCACCAAATTCTTCATGAATTTCTTTCCCTCTTGTGCCTCTCTCGGATTTACAGGAGACCCCATTGCAATTCTTCCTGTTTGTGGCCCGGAATGAGGTCCCATCTTTGCTTGCCTTTCATCTTTAAACCACTGTAGCAATTTCAACGCTCTCTTTTGTGCTAGAGGGCTCCCCAATAACGCTACTTCAAGAATGACATGTACAATTCCTGACTTCGCCATTTTGTCTCGCTGTGCTGAGCTTTGATGGGCTAAAATCATTAAAATGTAAGCTGATGATTCTTGACATTTCGGCTTCTCTTCCCATGTCAAAATTTCGATTAAACTGTCTGGAACAAGAGGACTATCTTCCATAGCTTTCTTTCCCATTAATGTCACCACCAAGTTCCCAAGTGTTGCAAGTGATTTCTCCGACAGTTCCTTCACTGAACAAAGCTTCAACACAGTGCTTACCACTCCATTAGAGACCAAAGGCCCTGCATTTTCCAACACTGCAGACAGGTTGTACAATGTACCAATACACAACTCTTTAGTTTCCAGGCTTGATTCTGATTCAAGAATGCCCACCAGAAATGGGAGAATTTCGGACGACGAAAGAGAGAATTGTTTATTCGCTAGAGAAGATAACAACAGAATCAACTCTGCGAATTCACGCCTTGTTGACTTGTCAACTACATCAACATTCTTCGGTAGCTTTGTCAAGATTCCTGCCTCCACCATGAGAGCCTTGTTCCTTAAGTAACAACAAAACAAAAAAATTAGGTCAGAACCACATAGAACTCTTTGACTTTAATCTAGTTAGTTTGAAAAAAAAAAAAAAGACTTTTAAAATCCCAGATGAATGATCAAGAACAATGCATACTAAAATAATTTCAGGGCCCTCCCTCAAGGATTAAACAATAAAGAAGACAAAACTGACCAACCAACGAATAAAATAAAGAGCTTAATGCACGAAGAAGTCAATGAGATTCCAAGATTTAGATCTGTGTTGAAAGGTGAAGGCCAATAAATGAATTAATTAATTGTCCAACTGAAGATCATGTGGAATCTGATCAACTTATGGGCTGTAATTTAATATGTTATTAGAGACAAAAACATAATTTGCCTCTCCGATTCTTCCAACCACAAACCTCCTCAGTGGACAACCACCGCACCTTGCGCTCTAACTACAGATTCAAGGACAAAGCATTTTTCCTTAATTATTTGTTCTAGTGTGTTGGGCGATGAACCGCAATCTGATTTCTTTATTCCAGAAAATTTTCTACCCAGATAAAAACCAAACAAATTAGAATAATGTGATGAGAAATAGGCCAAACTAGAAACGCCCAACTAAATCAATCCAAGGAAACGACTACCACACAAGTCATATGATATGTATGTAAAAAGTCAAAAATTGCTGGTGACAAAAAAACAAAAAAGCTCCACTAAAATTACTTTATAAATTTAAAAATATTTTCTATATATAATTCCCCCATACCATTATCAACAAAAACGTACCTACATTCAGATTTTTACAATAAAGTTTATCAACCATATTGAGGACCTTTTTATTATTATTATTATTATTATTATTATTATTTCTAACTAAAAGGATTTTAATCAACTGTATTGGGTCCTATTTCCCCGTGAACTAACTAACTGAATCTGCCCTACAAGAAATTCAATTATTTTAAACCTGATAAATTAAGCAGCAGTCCCAGAAATAACGTTTTTCTTGGGTGGAAATTTATAATTCAAATTAAAAGTATTAACTAAATAAATGTTGGCTAATTACTGCTCAGTCACGGCACGCGGCACGCCCACTATGCCCACAAACAACACAAGTGGAGTCACATCATCACCATATCCATATCCTTTGATTTTTACTAGAAAAAAAAAAATTACAATTTATGAATTAATGTTATTAAATATTCAAAATTTACAAATTAAGAATATAAATTGAGTTTAATTAAAAAAAAAATTGTTGCATTTTAAATAATGGATTAATTAATTATTATCGATCCTTGCATGCAAGATATTTCCTTATGATGATCAAATTAATAATGAAAATTTTTAAAAATTGATATTAATATGAGTATCAAGGATAATTAATTAATTAATTAATTAATACTTACGTGTAAGTTCCATTAGCGAGCTCGATCAAGGCCTGAACCGCTGCCTGGCGACGGCCAACCACCTCCGTGGCCACCATGGAGACTAACACATGAATAACTCCGAGCTCGGCCATCAACTTTTTAATCTTCACATCTTCTTTAGCAATTCTCTGTATCTCCAAGGCAGCCATCTCCTTCTCTTCCCAGCTTCCAAAGTGAATCCTTTTCACAGACTTTTGTAACACCACGGAAGAATCATTCTCGATTTGTTCCTCCACCGCAACTTGAATTACTTCTTGATGATTGATTAGAGTTTTGGATGTTGTTGATGATGTATTAATACTATCAACATGATTGGAATCAGTGCGTCGCTTGCGAGCAGCTTTGGATTGCAGGAAACGACGAATACGAGAAAAAAATTGAAGCTTTAAGTAAGAAACTAACCAGATATTAGAAGAAGAAGAAGAAGTGGTAGACATGTTTTGTGCTAAAGAAGGAGACATATTGAGAGAGATCAAGACTGTTTAAGGGGTTGTTTCATTTATTTAATAATAATCTTAAAAAAAAAAAAAAAGGGAAACTCTTGACGTTTGTGATGGCATGAGAAACAGAGAGAAGGGAATATATATATATGAATGAAAAAAGAAAGAGAGGAAGAAGGAGACTTGTTGACGAGCATATGCAGAAGAACAGTGTTGTCTCTATTCATTACCCACAATTCCCATAATGCCCATCTGTTAAAATTCCAAGTTAAATGGGGTTAATTACCATAAGAGTGTAATTAAGGCGACTAATTAGTGGTTATTTATTAGGACAAGAAAGTAACTATTGTTGGTTAAAAAGGTTGTATTAAATGGGGTTTTTAGATCATATAATGTTTTATTATAGCGGTATATTATATTAACAGAAATAAAAACCATCTTAAAAATTACTAGGAATGTTTAGAAAATGTGTTTGGTTGATTCGAATAAATTGGTGAATAATATGTTTAATTAGGAGGATAAATGGGTGGGTATGTTATATAAATTACTAAATTGTCTTTTTTTTAAAATATTAATATAATAATATTTTTTTAATCGTTTCTCGTAACCCCCTACATTTGAAATTTTGCCTAAACACTACAGTCATATAAAATTTTAATTTGTAGCAAAATCACCTCCATTCACCCCAAGCCACTGCCGACAATCGACGAAATGGCGCACAACTAGTCGTATATGACCGATTGTGCGTCGACAAAGTCGAAAATGGCCATGGATCATAAATACATGACCGAAAAACGGCCATATTTGTGGCCGTGAAAAGGCCAGATCTTTGGCCATGCCATTTCACCACCAAAGATGTGGCCGTGATCTGGCCTTTTCACAGCCACATCTTTCGCAGTGAAATAGCCATAAAAATGTCAGATCTGGTCGTTTGCAATCATGGATCTGTGATCCATGGTCGAAAAAGACATTACTAGTGCACGACCAGCCAGATCCTACCGATCGTGCACCATTATGACAACTAACGCCGGCGATCAACAGTAGTGAGTCACAGCCGATAGTGGTCTTGAATGGTTGGGGGTATTTTACTAACTTTTAAATTTTTTTATGATTAGGGTGTTTTAACTAATTTTTTAAATATAGAAAAACTAGGTAATTATTATTTGGTAGACATTTGAGGGTAATTATGTCTAAAATGGTTTTTAATTAAAGGTAAAATGAGTAGAAAAATCATATTAACTAAGTAATATTTTAATAATACCCTTTAATAAGATAATAAAATTATTCTTTATATTACCAATAATAAATATTATTTATAATAAAAAAAATTTATAATATTTTATTACTTACCAATCAAATATAAAAATGTTGTAAAATAAATAAAGTTTATCCGTTATCTTATTTACTCCGTCCAAACAGCCAGTGTTAAGCAAAGTTCGACTTTGATGTGAATCTGTAACAACATTTATGGCAGTGTGGGATTCAGGAAGCATCAGCCTCGATCATCTCCCAAGATTTATGTTTACACGTGGCTCTCATGCAGTACAATAGATATTTTAGGTCAATGCTTAAATTTTTGGTGAGAAACTCTATGCCGTGATTTTCTCACATGCATGGTGGTTGATTGTGTAAATTTTGCAGCAAGAAGGTTGGATCAACAACTAATTTGTGATTTTGTGATCCAAATTAAATTTAAATATATGTTAATTATATATATATATATTACATGCTTAGAATAAGGTTGGACAAAGAAGAAACAGCATACTGGGTTAAGATATTCTTGTCCGAATAGCAAATGTGGCAATTTCCATTTTTATAACAATTAAGGCTACTATTAATACAAGTTTCTATAATTTCTAGTATTGGAATTGTCTAATTTCACATGATCATAATTCATTGGTTTATATCATTACAAAAATCAACCTTTGAATGACTGAGTGGTTCGATAAAAACTTTTGAATATATTACTTAAGAGGTTTTGAGTTTGAATCTTTCATTAATAGCTAAAATACAGGTGGTTACTAGAGCTCTTACCCGATCGATAGTTTTAGGATCCCAAAAGATTAGTTGAGGTATACGTAAGCTAATTTAGACTCTCTTAATCATAAAAACAAAAAAGAAGTTTATACCGTTACAAGAATTACTTCTATACTTCTTTCTTTTTTTTCTAAGATTTATCCTATTGGGCATAATCTAATTAACACGGAAATCTATGCTGTTAGCTTTAAGAATGTTTAGTATTCTATGAAAAACAAAACAAAAGAACACGATAGGCAAATGTGGTGTTATGCACTAAGAAATCAAGGGCTGACGTGGAGTCACGTGACGAAATATGGCTGCTCCTGTCAAAACGGTAAACGCACGTCAGGCCTGCCAGGCACCCTAGACGCTCCACATGTCGCTTTACATGCTCCAAATCGGTTAAGATCAGCTTGGGAAATGGGCAATGGGACGTAAAGCCAGATTATGTCCTGACATTCACACCAACCAAGGATTTATATGATTATACGCATTCAAACTTGATATAAGAAGAGGAAACCCATTCATTAAGGGGATTCGATCATTTGACATTTGAACTCTCTCTCTCTAAAAAAAAGCTCGGTATTTACTTTTTCAATCATTTGTAAGTCAGTCCGCTTTAGTGACTTGACCCACCGTATAAATACAAATCAGTGGATGTAGGACTGCTACCTTAGCATCGAACCACTTTAAAAGCTCATTGCATTTATTTCATATTGATAATCCATATTCACGTGTGTTCTTGTCCAATCAACGCTGCACACGTGTCAATTAGTTGGTACCTAAACGCGCATCAACAGTTTGGCGCTAGAAGGAGGGCCTGATTAGCGTGTACCCTTCATCAGGAGAATCTTCAACCTACTGTCCTACAGCAAACAAATGGCCCGCCAATCAGAACCTGAGCAAGCTAATCAGCGCGCTGAAGGAGTCCCCTTGACCCAAGGGGATACCCCCTCAGGGACTTCCGGTTCCACAAAAGATGCGGGGATATTCGGACAGATTCACAACTCGACCTCGCCATCAGAAGCTACCTGGAGAGGTTGGACAATACTCTCAGATGGTCAACCAAAGGTTGGACCGTTTGGACCAAGGAATGTCATCTACAACAGCTGGGGCGGTGCAACCGCCAAGACGCCTGCAGGTCGCGCGGGGAAAGCGCGGCAAAGGGCAAAGCCCATGCCGCGAGAGCATGCAGCACGTAGACGTAAGGGAAAGCAAGTGGCAAAAGGTAAGCCTAAGGGCTCCCAAGGACGGCGAGCACAAATCGCGCCCGAGCAGGGTGCCGGCAAAGCTGAGATCGACGAAAAAGTAAATCCTGAGCTGTCCCATGCCACGTCGCAGGCGAACCAAGCAAAAATGCAGGCGCGATGATTCCTATCACCGCCAGCAGAACGATCCTGATCGTTATGCGGGTGGCCCCCACAACCTCGCGGGGTAGTTCGTACCACACGCCGAGGGTCGTGATAACGCCCGCTCAATCCATCGCCTTCACAGCCTTAGCCAGATGTGTCGAGTGCGAACGAAAATGCCGACCAAGGCGAAGAGGAATCCGACCTCGGACTTTCCTGAACCGTAATCGCGAAAGGCCGGACCTCGCAGGGTGAAAGCAACCCTCAATTGGGCCGTTACGCAAATTGAGGAGCTACAGCGAGCTCTGGACAGGTTAAGGGAGAGCAGCAAACGCGGAACAGGCCAGGTCGCCTCTGCATCCCCATTCTCTCCCGAAGTGCTAGCTGCTCCACTCCCACAGGGTTCAGAATGCCCGACAGGTGGGACCATTTGACGGGAACCATGACCGCAGGACCATTTGTACGAGTTCAACGACCTGATGGGAGCTCCACCAGGTTTCGGACCTTGCAAAATGCCGTGTTTGGCCGTGACGCTCACTTTCACACCAAGCGGTGGTTAAGGTCGCTCCCAGCGGGATCGATCAGTTCGTGGCCTCAGAGAGCACGACGTTCTTACGGCATTTCCAAGCCAATCGGAAATTTTCGATGCCTTGAGCTATCTCAGCAACATAAGGCAAGAAGAAAGAGAGAATCCTGCAATCTTACATCGACCGTTTCCACAGGGAACTAAACAAGGTGGCTCACGCTCCAGAAGAGTCCATCCGAAACTTATAATAGCTGGAGTTCGCCCGCAAACCGACCTGTGGAAAGAACTGCAGGCTGAGGACGATGTTTCCCTCACCAGATTTTACAATCTTGCAGAAAAGTATCTCGAATAGAGAATTCATGGCGGCACTCCGTCGCCGCGATCATGGGCGTCGAGCAGTATGCTGGTCGGGGAGAAAGTAGGAGAGCTGATCGCAAAGGAGACATGATGATCAGCGAAAAGGGAAAGAAACCCCTCTACGAGCATAAAAAGTCCTATGCTTCTGTTCCTCGCGCGACAGGGACAGAGTCAATACATTCCGCTGAACGTGTCCAATATCCGCAATCCTTGACAAATCGAGGAGGAGCCAGCCGCTGCCTCGGTGAGCCCAAAACCAATGAAAAACTCCTGTACGGCCAGAAACAGCAAAAAATACTGCCGTTACCATCGGGATAGCGGGCATCACACTGATGAATGCCGGAGCCTAAAGCAGGCCACGAAGAGCTCATTAAAAAGGGGCACTTCAAGGAGTATATGATGACTCCCAAAGGAGAGCCAAGGGGAGCAAAAGAAAAAAACATCGTAACCGCAGTGGCTACAGTAGCGTTAATATCATTTTCGGAGGTCCGCACCTCGCGGGGAATACGCGAGGAGAGCCAAGAAAGGTATGCTCGCAAAGCATATCACGACCCAATCAGAGTATGAATACTTTGCAGCGACCACAAAAGGCTCGAAAGGAGGAGCCGATCACCTTCTGCGAAAGGGAAGCATCTCGCTTGCACCATCCTCACGAGGATGCCCTGGTGATCACGCCCTGATAGGATGTCATAATGTCTGAGAATGCTGTGGGACAACGGAAGTGTGTGAACATCCTGTTCAAAACTGCTTTCGATAGAATGAACTTAGACGAGGCCGACCTAAAGCCCGCCTCGATACCTCTCTACGGGTTTACAGGGGGCCACCTGATCCCCAGAGGAACAATTCAGTACCAG